TGGACTTGGTCGGCCAGTCCACTCCGACCGCTGCCCCAACCCCTTTGCCCAGCGAGGGCGGCGGAGACGAGGGCCGAGGTCTGGAGTGCGCCTCGCAGCTGGCATACAGCAACGCTCTCTCATCATCATCGTCCTCCACATCAGGAGGATCCGACGAGGGGAGAAGGAGGAATAAGGAGGAGAGGGATGAGGAGACGGAGGGGGAGACGGAGGAGGAGGAGGAAGAGGGGAAGGATAAGGAGGGGGAAGAGGAGCATGAAGGGGGATGATGAGTAGGAGGAAGAGGAGGGGGAGGAATAGGGGAAGGGGGAGGAGGAGGGGGGGGGGATGAGGATGAGGAGGCGGAGGAGGAGGGGGAGGAGGAGCAGGAGGAGCAGGAGGAGGAGGAGGAGGAGGATAAGGAACATGATGATGGCGCTGATGAGGTGAATGAGGAGGAGGAGGGGGGGGGAGGAGGAGGAGGAGGAGGAGGAGGAGGAGGAGGAGGAGGAGGAGGAGGAGGAGGAGGAAGGGGGAACACCCTGCTGGCGAGGAAGAGGAGGAATACTATCGAGTTGGGCCGACCATGCCGTCACCATGCGGATTTGCACTCCCACAGCAGAGCACAAGACATAACATATCAGCACACAGAATTGAAACCACTAGCAGGGGCTTCAACCGCGCACCTGTCGCGGCGTTGGTGGGCTTCCTGGCGGTAGCGCTGGCCCTGTCTTGGGGGGTGGGCGTCGCAACTTAAAATATGGCTCCCCCGTTGGCCTGCGAACTGCGAAAATGTCGCCGCTTTCGCGGGGTTCTCGGTGATGCGGCTGAGTGCGTTCGGAGGCGTCGCAACTACCCTCCCTTCTTGTGGGCCTGCTAGCTAATTGCGCAACTGTTGCCCATTTCGTGGGTTTCTCGGTGAAGCGACCGAGCGTGCCTGGGCGGCGCCGCTACTAAAACTCGCGCTCCTGGGCGGTGGCCAATTGCGCCACTGTCGCCGTTGTTGTGGGCTTCTCGGCAATGCGGCTAAATTGCGCGCCTGAGAGGCGCCCCGACTTGAAGTCGCTCCTCCCCTGGGGGCCAACCGTTGCGCAAGTGTCGCCCCATTCGGTACCTTCTCGATAAAAGATCGCGCCCTCTTCGGGGGCCTGCCAACCGCGCAACTGTCGCCACTTCCGCGGCCGTTTGATGGCTGCGCGCCTGTTGGAAGCGCAGCAATCCTCCTTGCCCTCCACCGCTTGACGCTGCAATGGGGGGCATCTGGGTAATATTGCTGAAGGCGCACAATTTAAACTCGACCCCCCTTTGGGGTTTGCCAACAACGCAAACGCGTTGCATCCGCGGGCTTAGCTGGACGATGCGGTTGGGCGCGCGTTGGGGGTGTCGCAACTTAAATTCTGGGAGGTCTTCGGGGCCCGCCAACAACGTAACTGTCGCCGCCTCTGCGGGCCTCTCGGCTCAGCTTCACCGCTGCGCAGGCGCAACAACGACATCGAAATGCTCCAAGCACTCCAAGTACCCTTTGCAGCAACCCAAATGCAAGCGCGACGGAAGTCTCGCGCCAGGACGATTAGGCCAGCCAGAAGTCAGCATGATGCACGCGCCACAACGCAGAGCAGCTACACGGTGAAAGCACAGGGTGCGGCAGGCGCAAGGGTGCCTTAAACAAACTTGAGGCATTTTGTTCTTGGGGGTGGTAATTTCTGGGGAAGGTCGGGGCCCTGCTGATTCTCGCCGCCTGCGGCGGAGTTCACGCCGGCCCCAAGGTTGCGCGCGAGGGCCCTGGGAAGGCTGACGAGGATCTGGAGCGCAGACTCTCAGGACCTGCGCGTGTTTCATTATTCCTGCTATCCCCACTCTCCTATATCCTCCCCCTCCCTTTTTCTGTTTCGAGCCCTGCCTCCCTCCTCCCTCCGCTCCCCCCCTCCTTCCTTTTTCTTCCTTTCCCAGCCCGCTCATCGCCTTTCCCCCGCGCTAGGTGTGTGTGTGTGTGTGTGTGTGTGCGTGTGTGTGTGTGTGTGTGCGTGCGTGTGCGTGTGCGTGTGCGTGTGCGTGTGCGTGTGCGTGCGCGTGTGCGTGTGCGTGTGCGTGTGCGTGTGCGTGTGCGTGTGCGCGTGCGCGTGCGCGTGCGCGTGCGCGTGCGTGTGCGTCGTGCGTGTGCGTGCGCGTGCCGCGTCGCGTGCGCGTGCCGTGTGCGTCAGTTTGCGTGTGCGTGTGCGGTGCGCGTGCGCGTGCGCGTGAGTGTGTGCGTGTGCGTGTGCGTGTGCGTGTGCGCGTGCGTAGTGCGTGTGCCTGTGTGCGTTCGGTGCGTTGGTGCGTGTGCGTGTGTGTGCGTGTGCGTGTGCGTTGTGCGTGCGCGTGTTGTTGGCGTGTTGCGTGTGCGTGCGCGTGCGCGTGCGCGTGCGCGTGCGCGTGCGCGTGCGCGTGCGCGTGGCGTGCGCGTGCGCGGTGCGTGCGTGTGTGAGTGTGTGTGTGTGTGTGTGTGTGTGTGTGTAGTGTGTGTGCGTTGCGTGTGGCGTGCGTGCGTGCGTGCGTGCGTGCGTGCGTGCGTGCGCGCGTGCGCGCGTGCGCGCGTGCGTGCGTTGCGTGCGTTGCGTGCGTTGCGTGCGTGCGTGCGTGCGTTGCGTGCGTTGCGTGCGTGCGTGCGTGCGTGCGTGCGTGCGTGCGTGCGTACGTGCGTGCGTGCGCGCGCGGGGGGGCTGGGCGCGCGGGGGGGGGCTCGCGCGCGCGCGCGTGTGCGCGTGTGTGTGCGGGGGGGGGGGCGCAGGGGGCGAGGGGCAGTCCCGCGCGTTCGCGGTCGACGAGGGGGAACATGCCACATGCTGCCCCCTGGCGCCCGAAATCGGAGGAGGGGCAAGAGGAGAAGGAGGACGGGGGAGAAAAGAAGAGGGATGAGGAAAAGGATTAGGAGGAGGAGGAGGAGGAGGGGGGGAGGGGGATTGGGGGGGGCAAGCTAGGTGCGCTCGCGTCATATCTGACGTCCTACCCCTCCCCCCCATCCCTCACCATGGCGCTGATTGTCTCCATCCGCGGACGCGTGTCGTAGCGGACCTGTGGCTCCGCGCACGCGTGCGTAGTGGGTGGTGGTGCGCGTGCGTGCGTGCGTGCGTGTGCGCGTGGTGGCGGTGGCGGTGGTGCTGGTGCTGGTGCTGGTGATGGTGCTGGTGATGGTGCTGGTGCTGGTGGTGGTTGTGGTGGTGGTGGCGGTGGTGGTGGCGGTGGTGCGGCGCGGTGGTGGCGGGCGGATGGGCGCGCGAGAAAGAGGCCCGCGCTGGGGCGAGAACGCCATCCTGAACGACGGAGGCCAAACACCGATCCGAAAATGAGGCCCGCGCTGCAGCGGGGGCGCGATTCGGAACGATTCGGGGGCTGAAACGAAGCCGGCGCCTCAGCGAGAGCAGCATTTTTTTTGGGGGGGGGGGAAACAAAACACGCAGGCGAAAACCAGTTTCCCGGGAATCCTGCGGGGGAAAGAACAAAGAAGAAGAAGAAGCAAAATCATAATAATAAGAAAAAAAGAGAAAAACAAACAAAAAAAAAGAGAGAGAGAGAGAGAGAGAGGAAACGCACGCGGGGGTGGGGGCGGTCGCAGGATGTCTTGAATCACCTGCGGGCGCCTTTCGATGCCGATGCCCCCTTGGTAATGGGAAGGGGGCGTCGGGCGAGCCCCCTTGTCAATGCCCTTCTGGGCATGTTGGGCCCTGGTTTCGCCGGCGCACGGTGGGCGAGCATGGTGATCGGCCGTTGCCCAGCGAACTGAACGTTGCCGCGGCCCGCGCGGTGCATGGGTGTTCGCGCCAGGGGCTTTGATGCGCAATCCAAGGGATTGCTGCGCGGCCACTGCAACTCAGCCCGGGGGCGTGGTAATTGGAGCGAGCGTTTTCCATGCTATTCGGGTGGTTTTCCCATGCTGCTCGCATGTGCATTCGGCCGCATCGGAATTCAATTTTCTTTTCACGCTTTTCCTTTGAATTCGTGGGTTCGCTGAAGTCATAGTTATCAAACCTATTTCAAATTTAGACTGAAACCCGGTGTTCATCAGTTTGCCTGCTCCGGGGCGCCGTAACGGTTGCGGATGGTGACGGTGGCGATGGTGATCGTGATGATTTTTAGTAGCAGGATGTGGGGGAGGGGAAAGCGTGCGCAGGAGGGCCAGGTGCAGGAGGCGGAGGAGTTGGCGAACGCGTTGACGAAAGGGGCAAGGAGCAGGAGCAGGAGCAGGAGCAGGCACACGAGAAGGAGGAGGAGAAAGAGGACAGAGGATGGATCATGGATGCAGGGCGAGGAACGGAGTGGACACAGACACGGGAGCGGTCTTGAACAGGGGGGTACCGCAACCAAACCAGACTACAAAGGGAAACGCAGTCGTTGTTATCTTCTCCTGTGTCCTTCCCTCTTCGAAGCCCGAACGTCATTCGGGAGAGAGAGATGGGAACTACGAGGTGACGCGAGTTATTGGCACGTTTTGTTGTGCTCAGGGCGTCGTCGAGTTGCGCGTCGTTGCATGTCGTAGCTCTCTCCAATATTTTGTTGATGTATCTCATCCGCGCTTTCTTTCCTCGCCGATTCGTATACTGTTTCATTCACGATTTTCTCTGGCTTGTTCGTTCCATGTTTGGATTAGTTGGCCAATGCTGGCGCTGACCAAACTACACATGGCGACGCTTCAGACACAGGGGCTTCTCCCGAACCATGGAACTGCGCATCACTCGGCGACGACAGTGAGCCTGCACGCACAGGTCATTGCCATGCCATGTCTGGGCATCCACCTGGCCAGGCCAGGAATCAGGGGCAACACGTATGTATGGTTACGGACCGTCCGATGAATTCGAAATCCCGAACACGTCACCAGACGGTCTGCCACCAAACGGTTTTGGAGAATTTGGAGGCGCCGCCGTTCGCTCATCCCGATTTGTTCACGACTCATCGGACCATCGCCAGACGGGACTGCTTGGGGACCCCAGATGAAGGCTTGCGCACCGATCCTTGGCTAAAGATCTGCGATGCGCGAGCGCCCCGCCGAGGTTTCGGTTCCGTACGCCTCGTCGAGCATGCGAAGACTGGCCAGAGATACGCGCTGAAGCGCGTGCCGAAACGGCGGGGTAAGAAGGCGCCCGCCCGAGCGGGCCGCCAGGGGGTTTGTGCCGGGCTGATCGAAGGAGGTAGTCGCATTTGCAGATGCGCCGGTGTTTTGAATGGCACGCTGTGCTTGCACTCAGAGGGTCCTATTCCCCCACGCAGTGCTTTCACTGAAGGGTTCATGCTTGTCTCTCGTGACGGCCTGCCCCTGTCAGCTGGGGTTGCGCCGGTGGTGGTCCGCCCACGAGGTCCCAGCCTTGGTTGCCCCTCTATGTTGGGATTGCGACTGTTCCCAGATCCCGCCCATCGGTGCCGGGCTTCAGTTGTATTGTCAGCCGAATTGCATTGAAGAGGTCAAATTGTGTCTCGGCATCGCAGGTTGCCGCCACTCTGCCGAATATCTATTGTTTGACCCTGCACATCACCCAAAAGTTGCGCCGGGCCAGCGTATCTGGTCACCTTGATCCCATGTCGAGCCCCACTACTTGCGGGTATCGCAAATGCCGGTTGCAATATGCAGCATCCAGCCCCATATTTTAGCCCCGCTAGACTTGGTGTCGCGACAGCTCATGAGCCCATCAGAGTTCCCCATACCATCTTTTCGCATACGTTTCCATGTATTAATGGCTTACCCTTCGAGGTGGAATCTGACACAATGCTCAAATCGGGCTTGGAGTATGTAAGGGTAGTGCTCGGCTGAAGGCCTCGATGCGCGTGTCGCCGATCACCTGTCTTGAAGCGCCCATCCTGAGTTTCGAAAGGGCAAGTTCTTGACGAATCGCATAATTTCGTCAGCCCATGTGAGCTGCCTGGATCAGGGAGATGTAGGAGCATGCAGTGGAACAGCGTGTGGGGTGCAGCCGTGAAGCCGAAGTGCGGATGAGCCAGAGCTGACCAATGAGTCAACAGCTATGTAGCCAGAGTCCAGCATTCCCAACAAGCGTTGGAGGTCAGCAAGGGTTGCTCCAAGAGTATTCGAGCTTCCTTCGAATCATGGTCGTACACCTGCTTCTGGTCGGCCTGCACCCTCGTCGTATTCGTGTCGTCGTCTTCGTCTCTTGGGTTTCATTTGGTGGCCTCTTGGGCTGTCTTGAGGCCACGTCTTGGGTCGCTCTTGGTCCGTCTCGAGCCCTCTCGGACCGTCTTGGTGGCCTCTTGGAGCCATCTTAGGCCGTCTTGGGGTCTTGGCCCGCAGGAAAAGTCTAGCGGCAAGGCCCAATATCTTTGTCTGTGAGGACATGCGGCATGCCTCACAGCCAGATCGGTCGGCCGATGGGCCGACTCCATTGCCCGCCCGAGCCCGTCCCCAGAAGCCCATGACCATGTGGTGAGCGAGGTAGCGCTTTGGAGAGAATGTCATACCTCTGGCCTTGCGACGCACAACGTGCGCATCCTGTGCGGCCAATCCGATCTGACGGGGGGAGTGGGGGCTCGCGGGCAGCCGTTTCACTCCGCAGTGTGTTTTGGGATGCCCCGCCCCTACTAAGGCTGCGCCAGATCTGCCAGCTCCCTCCCAGGACTCGAGCTACGATAGAGCGACAATGATCACAGGCACTTCTGGCGGCCTTCAGGAGCACCATTCACTGGGGCGAAACGTGTTCATGATATCCAACGTGCCTCTTTCGTTTCATTTGGAGAGGGGATGGGAGGTGGAGGAATCAGGCATGCAGGGAGGAATGCGAGATTGAAGGGCTGGATTGAGGAGCTGGCGGCTGAAGGTTGCAGTGGCAATTCTGCTTGGAGAGCCAGATCGGCGAGACCTGGGGCGGACTTGGCAAGACGGATAATGTCAAGACGGGGGCGTCAGCGCGCATAATCCGGCTGCACATGGCATCCGAATGCAGACAAATTGACGGCCCCGGCGGTTCGGGAACGGCGGCGGCGCAATTTGGGCACATTTGATCGCATTCGTACCCCTTCAAAACAAAGCTATTCTCGCACTTCGTCCGGTTTTCATGAAGGTCGCTTGCTGAAGCTGCATCATTAGACACAAGCCAACCAATTTATTTGACGTCATACTGTTGAAGATTCGCCGGGCTTTTGAGCGCCGCGGGTGAGGGAACATGTTTTGAACTAACAAGTCAGACATTGCTAGATCAAAGCGTTCGGCCCTCCACTGGGGAGCAGAGAGGATGACAACATAGTGTAGGCGCAACCTTCGGTTCCACGAGCCATGGCACCAAGCGTCACACCGTCTCTTCTGCCTGGCTCCAAGACGCGTGGCAGCAACGTGATCTGGAGCTAAGGGGCAGGGTCGCTCTGGAGGGAGGCCAGCGAATACACAACAGCCGAGCCCTGGCCTGGTCGACTCCTCGCTTTGGTATTTCTCTTGTGCTCCTCTCTTTGGCGACGTTCCTGCCCAGGTGGAAGTCACCTCTGCATGTGAGCTCGCACAGCTTGCTTAGGACTTGCTCGAATCTGGCCAGCCATACTTTCTGGACTCTTGACTGTTCTGTGAGTTTTTGCTTCGCAGCCAGCTGAAGCGAGGATCCTCTTCCAGCAGTCAGGCGACAGGAGGTCGCAGGGCCCGAAACAACGAGAGGGAGGGAACCAGCTCCGCTGGCAGGTGGAGGAGCTTGTTGTCAGGGAGTGCGACCTGCTCGCGGAGATGGACCACCCATTCATCCTCAAGCTCGTCAAAAATTTCGATACCGCGTCGAGCATCTACATCCTCACAGAGCTGCTCACAGGCAGCCCTTCTTCAAATTCGTGGGCGGGAAACATGCCCAAACCCGTGGCCTCGCGGTCCAGACCCCTCGGCCGCGACCCCATGGATCCACGGATCCACGGCGGTTTTGCGCGAATGCGTACCCACGGGATCGCGTATCCATGAGGTCGCGCCCGAGAATCTTCACCGCGAGGGCATGCTCCTCGCTCGCGACGAAAGCAGTTCTGGCCATCAGAGGGAGACGCCAGCCCGCGCTTCTGAGGTCTCCCGCTGTCAACCCGTACCGAATCTGCGCCCCCCTATCCGGGGCCGGCATTGCCGCGCTCCCCGACAAGGCGGCGAGCTTTTCGCGGCGCTAGAGCGGCTGAAGCGGGTGCTGACGCGGGAAGAGGCGCAGTTCTATGCAGGGTCGTTGGTGTTGGTCTTGGACTACCTCGGCGACAGGACCATCGCCAGGGCCCCGCAGGGTTCTGTGGCATCTTCGGAGCGGTCGTTCTTGTGTTGATTAGGATTCGACGCGGCTCCGACGTTCGACGTGGATTCGACTGGTTGAGATTGTTGGGGCATGTCAGCATAGCATGTTCGAGGCCCACTCATCAAACACAGGCTAAGAATATTAGCCGTCGTAATCTACATGGCAAAGAACACGCTCAAGAAGTAGAGATGGTGGGCACTGGGAGATGTGGATCTGGCTGATCAACAGAGGGGCACGAGGGTTGGAATTGAAGGGCTTGATGTAGACGGGAGGAGGAAGAGGAGATGGAGCACAGAAGTCGGCGGAAACAGCGAGGGAGCCAATGGTTGATATTGGAACAGCCATCGAGTGACGTTGCAGGGGGAATGTGTTTCGTCATTCCTACTCTCACCTCCTTCGTCTCGTTCCCTCTTCCCCTCTGATCTTCCTTTTGAGGCACAGGGCTGGACGTAGAGTAGCGTACCACACTATCTTGCCGCATCGGGGCGGAACAGGAATCAGATGGACAGATTACGTTTGGGCAAGTTCGGGCAGAACAGCAGGAGTGATATCCTCCTATCTTCCCCCCTACCACTTCGCGTTCCCCTATCCCATTCCTATCTCCCGCCCTCGCCCGCCTGGGCCCGCTCACTCTCCCTGGCACCCGGCTGCAACGTGTTGCATCCTTGCGTCGTCAAGGCTAGCGTATCCTTTCATGGTAGACAGTTTGGGGGCACCGGGCACCCGTGCAGCCGCAGGAGAATAGTCTTTCGCGACCTGAAGCCCGAGAACGTGATGCTGGATGGGCAGGCACTTGTGATGTCTGACCGCCTGTCGTATGTTGTCCGTCAGCCTCTGGCACGTCACGACGCTTGAGGTGTTCCTTCGGCTTCACGGATTGTTTAGGATTGCGTGCGTATCCAAATTCTACACGTTTCGCGTAACCCCACCAGCCCATCCATGAACGATGCCCAGAGGAATTGCCTCGATCAGGGAAGTGGGCAGCACAAAGAGGAAGGGTCCTCCAGTGGAGGCCTCTTGGAGCGTCTTGGGTGCCTCTTGGCGGTCCAGACGCCTCTTAGAGTGTCTTGGGTGCTTCGGAGAGCTTCTTGGGGCCTCTTGGGGGTCTCTTGGGAACCTCTTGGAGGCCTCTTGGGCGCCTGTTGGGGCCTGCGGCCTCCTGGGCGCCGCTTGGGGCCCTCTTGAAGTGCTCTTGGGAGCCTTCAGAGCGCTCTGGGGGTCATCTTGGAGGACATCGATCAAACAAGAGGGGAGCATTAATTAGCGTTGCCCCTCGGGAGCCCAAACAGTTGCCTCTTGGGGCGCTGGTGGGAGCGCTCTTGGGCGCTCTTGGGGCCGACTTCGGGCTCTCTTGAGCCTTTCTTGGGGCCCTCTTGGGCCATTTTGGAGCCATCTTGAGGCCTCGGATGGCTATCGGAAGCGAGAAGGCTAGAACGCCAACAGCATTGATTTCCCCAAGGTTTTGGAAGGATGTTGGCCACTTCGGGGCCTCTGGCGGGAGCTCTTTGGCCTTCTGGAGCCGTCTTGGGGCGGTCTTGGGGCCTCTTTGAGCACTGTGGGAGCCATCGTGAGGCATCTTGGGATATCTTGAGCCATCTTGGAGGTCATCTTGGGCTCTCCCAGGCGCTCTTGGAGTCATCTTAACCAGTGCCCCCCCAGGAGGCCAAACTGTGGCCAAAACCTTGGTACTGATTTTGGCATTCTCGCCGAGGCCTCTTGGAGCGTCTTGGGTGCCTCTGGGGGCCTCTGGGGACCTCTTGGGGGTCTCTTGGGAGCCTGTTGGGAGCATCCTGGGGGCCTCTTGGGGCCTCCTGGCCACCTCTTGGGGCCCTCTTGGGGCACCTGGGAGCCTTGGGAGCGCTATTAGGGCCATCTCGGAGTAGATCGGTCAAAAGGGGGGTTTCTTGATTACGGTCCCCCCTCCAGGAGGCCAACATGGGGCCAACACCTTAGTACAACCAATAGTTTGGGTTTTCTCGCCGAGGCCGTTTAGGACGCTCCAACTACCCGCGGACCCCCCCGTCCAGGTCCAGGGGAGGGGGTAAAGGGGAGGGGTCAGGAGTCTCCCTCCCCGCCCGCAAGCCTGCTCACTCCCACCCGCCCTCCCAACACATACGTAGCACCCGAGCCGCAGCATATGCAGCAGTCACTCTAAAGCGAGCTGGGGGACGTAAGGAGTGGAAGCGAGCGTGCGCCCGCGGCCGCGTCGGCTCAAGCGGCCGGCCGCCTAAATTTGACTGTGCCTCACCGCGAGGCACACACTCGCTATCGAGACCACAAGGATCTTCCTATTGATTGTGATGGCATCTCCTCTCATACTGGGACTATCGTTACTACGGTACAACAGAGCTGGAGCTTGGCTTCGCCTGAGGCGAAGTTGTTGGCTGGGCCTTCCAGCCCATTTCAAACTTGGTAGCGGGGCTGGCCTATGGTGGTCAGCTCTGGCTCTACTCCTCGCCATCCACGGCACTATCTGGTGGACTACGGATATGGTGGAAAATCACGGTGCAGCGGTATTGTGCGGAGGAGTGTATATAACTACGCAGTACCGCAAGGAATCTTGAAGCGATACCTCTGTTCAAGCGGAGGTCTCTTACTCACATCCAACATCCCTGCGCTATTAAAATCCTGAAGTCCACCCGCCTACTCCGATTGGAAATTCCTTCGGATACATGACGCATGGAAACATGCGATACGATGTACTGCCGCCTCCGACCCCGCGCAGACTTACGACGACAAAACATAAGTCCCCACCGACTACATCCGACTACGACCTACGAGGCCATTGGACAGGGGCTACTACCTTTGGGCTCATATGGGTCGCTCTTGGGTGTGCGGTAGGACATACGCGGGGCGGAGACGACACTAGAACGACTGGCCCCCATTGGGATCCTGCCGGCCAAGAGCCATTTCGCGAATTCGTCCGCGAAATACATGCCTGGACCCATGTGACCACAGGCAACATGACGCCATCCCAGCAGGCCGCTGCACTGCAGCGCGGTTTGGGAGGTCTCGCCCGGACCATAGCCATGAGAATTCCCCCATGCAGTCATCAGTTTTGGCGTCAATATAGGCGGTCGCCACACTGACGGCGTCAGCTACATTAGGTTTCTCTTAAGTACGAAGTTCGAGAACCTAGAAGAGGAACGCCAACTTAACTCTGGCACGGCTCCCATTGACTTTCGAGTCCATGCGGGTGAACGTATCGACCAGACGGTAGCACGGTCCGAGATAGCCCGCTACGAAGCTGAAACCGCCGGCTTCACCATCCCCATCTTTCAAATATTAGCAGCAATTAGATTCAGAGCTCTTGGAGTGGGGACGTCGCGTGCGCAACAACTCCTGCAGCCTCTGGACCACCGCATGCCGAGGGATCAACCACAATTTGACGCTCGACTTGAACGTATGCGGTCATGCGCTCACATAGCTGAGAGGACCCCTGACAATATTGGTGGTACCTTTAGCCGCGCCCACCGAACCGAGACTTCCCACGCAGAGGCCAAAGCAGGGCAACCTGCTAACAACGTCTGGAACGACGGTACACCGCCAACTGAGATCGCAAGGCCCCTGGGGCAGATCTGGGGGACCGCCCGACGCGGCTTCCCCTGCGCAAGCTCTGACCCTAATGGGCTCAGCGAGGCAGCCCGCCGAGTCCGATTTCGACTCCGGTGCCGACGCGGATGCGGTTTCCGATGATTCAGCTACCGCCTTGGATTACTCTGATATGCTTACATACCTCACGGAAGAGCAGCAAGTTCAATGGTTTTTTGCCATCAAAAGACGAGCGTCGTTGGCGGAGGTTCATGAAGAAACCAGTCAGAAGGACAAGACGTATTGTACGACGGTCACTCGGAGGAAAAGGCAAGTTTCGAAGTAAAGGCAAAGGTAGGCGTCGGCGACTATATGGTAGAGTCACGCCAGCAGTCCTAGCGTCTCTCACTGGGCCTCAGCACGAGGATTTTTTAAGTGCTGGCAGAAACCGAAGGCATGCATCAGGTAAATGTAAAAGGACGACGAGAAAGCCCAAACGATGCCAACGGTCAAACCATGGAGTGCGACATATGTCACAGTGCACAACATTTCCGACGCGAGTGCCCCATGGTGATGGAAGAGGCAGGGGTCCGTCAATGCATCTGGCTCAAACGGATTCCGACATGCAGCATCTTGATTGGGGGTCGCTGCTGGCCGACCCTGCCGACGGGACAGCCACATTTTTTCATTTCATGGTTGCTAGGTAGTATCTGAGTGCCAGCATGACCCTCGAGAGTTACGCCGACGAGCTGTTCGAGGAGGTGTTCGCTGGCCACAGCGACATCGACTTGGCAGAGTAACTGGGCGCACCCGTCGTGGGGCAACCTGCAGATATTGAGTTGGGCGAGAACTTCCACGCGCCCGTCGAGGGCGACTTCGGCATGGCGGGGGCGCCCGCGGATTCAGATTCTACCGTTCCTGCAGCAGAAAAGGAAATACATGTAATGCTCTACCCTCGGGCGATTGGAAACCCGACAACCGCGGCGTTAATCGATGGTGATCCACTGCGGGGAAGCCCGCGCGACGCTGGTGATCTATCTGAGCGCGTGCATTATGAGATTGGACCTAGGTCAGAATTTCAGCATACATTTTGCTGCTCCAGATCGGTCCGCCAGCAGCCCGAGGCGATCGCCAAGCCGTCTACCCTTCCTAAGGAAGAGATATCATGACGACCCGAGTCTCTCCCCAACGGGCGAAGAGGACGAAAGGGGAGACGATGGTCGCATGGTGCGTCGCGGTCGAGCTCCCAGCCCCGCGCCAGATCGTGCGCGAGCCCGCTCTGGCGGTGCTCGTTCGAGCGGCGGTCAGCGCCCTCGCCCCCTCGATGCGGGGGCCGCAAGGGGCCCGCCGTGGCAGGCGACAAGAGCGCACACTCCTCCGAGGAAGGGCCGCCCGCGGGCAAACCCGCCTCAAGAAGGCCAACGCCGAGGAGGAGGATATCCAGGAGGTGACGCACAGCGTTTGAAAAGGCTACACTGCAGCTGGATTGGCTCGTCAGCACATGCTCGCAAACCAGATGGAATACTGGTTGGGAATGGGTGGGGGCGAGCATCAAATCCGGCACTGGCGTTCTCTTCGTCAGCGCAGACGAGATGATGAAGGCAATATCGTTCGCTCAGAGGCGGGGCAGACCAAATCGCAGGAAAAGATGGCCAAGCGCGATCTCAGAAGGGCCATGATCGAGGATCGACAGCTCTACAGAGGCGTTTGCGGTAGATGCCCAAGCGATGCTGATCGCGGGCTCGGCTGCCCCATGAGACGCCCAGCAGGAAGCCCGACTTTCAAGAGAACGCCGTGGGTTTGGTCTCGTGGAGATGGTCGGGGCCACTGCGCTGGTCCCAACCTCACGCCCTATCGCGAGCGGCGGACGAAAAAAAAGGTTACGAGCCCGCCGCTCGCGGAGAGATAGCTCAGACAGAAACCATCTGGCAGAACTCGATACCTACTCACTATCTGGCGCAGTTCGATCGCGAGTGGCACGCGGGGAAACCTGCGGATCATGAATCAGAAGGAGAAAGCCAACGAGAAGCTGGTGAAGATGAAGACGATGAAGTAGCTGAAGAAGTTGATCCTACGGACGCTGCCCCTGACGGCGGTGAGCCAAGCGACTCGGGCATTGCAGACATTACGTGCGATGCAGGTGCTCCGATCGACCCCGGGGACGTTGCCACAAGAGATGGATCTATCTCCTGGGAGGCACCTTGTTCATCGCGCTCGGTCTATTGGCTGGATAAAGACACGCATCTTCGAAAGACGGA